CCTGAGATACATATCAAGATTTGTCTTAAACTTAAAAAAACCTTGAGCAATTGCTTAGTGACTAAAAGAGTTTGCAGCTCTTTCAGAGGATTGTAGTTCGGGTCCCACAACACATGTCAGGAGTCTCACAACTACCTGTAACTCCACCTCCAGGAGATCTGACACTTTCCTGCCTCCATGGCACCTATATACATATGCTCACACACACACACAAACACACACACACAAACACAGAAATAGAAAAAGTAAGTTTCTTTTGAAATTAACAACAAAAATGCAAATAAAAGGCAAAAGGGAAAACATTCATTGCAAAGATACACTTCTAGACTTCATATACATATAATTTTTCAACATGAATTGGTAGTTGATGGAAGAAATTATATAAACGTATAAAAAACATGAGAATAAATGTAAAATGTATATATCTGAAATCTGCTATAATAAATAAGGGTTGAAAAAAAATGGGAAAAAAGAAGCCACAGTGAGATGCTTAGACGAGCTGAGGGACTCCCTGGCTACTCCAGTGTGGTTCTCTATATTCTCCTTTTCTTTATCAAATCTTAATTGTTAAGACTGTGGGTTTAGCAAGGTGGTTCACTTCTTTAATCTCAGTGCTCTCTGCAAAAACAGCAGGTGGATCTCTATAACTTGGAGGCCATTCAGAGATACATAGTGGGACCCTAGCTCAAAAGGAAAAAAAGAACCAGAAAGGAGGAACACACACACACACAAAAAAATTACCCCTCCTGTTAGAACAGATGCAACTTAAAACAAAACAGTTTGTAGTTGGTTAAATCTGGGGAGGTGGGACTTCAACACATAGGGCAGAATGAACTCATTTTATTCAATACTAAATGAGAAAAAGTATTTTATAAGGTGGCCATAGAAAGTACTGGCAGTCTGCTCTTAAGGAAAAAGCTATTCCAAATGAGCAAAGGAAAGTGGCTCAAATCCAAAGAGATGGAGAACAGACTTGCCTGTACAGATAGAATACAACAAGCAATGCTGGAGCTGATAGCTGAGCATCTATAGAGAAGGAGGGACGGCTAGAAACATGAAGATTAAGGGCTTTCAGAAGCAGAATGCTTCCAGACAGGAGCTCCAGAAATTGGTGAGATTAAAGTTCATAAGACCACCATGCCCAAGGTTGCTGTGAGATGAGCCAAGGAGAAATCCTGCCAACTCTAGCTCTCCATCTCAGACACATGGTTTCTGCTGAAGCAGCTTTTCTAGCAGCAGGATACAGCAAGCAGCACTTAGCAAGTTGCATGTCGGCAGAGGTGCGTGTAAATGAAATAGTCATGACCCAGGTGGAACACTGAAAAACTATCATTTATCCCCTGTGAAAGAGACCATGAGACCCCTGCAGAGAATCCTGCCCCTTGGCCACTACCAAAAGACCTGTCAGCCAGAACCCAGCATGGGGTAATGCAGCTTTCTGTACACACCATAACCCCTTTCCTGCAGTGACTGGGCCTGTCTTTGCAAAGAGCAAGCCAACCTCTTTTTTTTGCTGGGAAGCTAGCAAACTTACAAAGCACCAGTGGGAAAATAAGAAATGGGCAGACAGTGCTAGTCAGTGAGCCCACAGCAGAGCCTATTTACGTACAATGAGATGTTTGAACTTTGGAATAACATAGGTTCATGGTCTTAACACTTTCTATCTAGAAAAGATGAACAAACCTAAGACTTTATCCTACATAGAAATAAAAAAAAAATGAAATTGTACTTGCTGGGAAAATGTTAATATAGTCAAGATGACAGAGAACATACAAGATTAAGTTCAAGAAACAAAACATAACTACATGAGGAGATATTCTTCAGGTGATAAAGAGTACTATATATGCAACCAAACTTATGGCAACAAGTCAAACATATAGAACAAGTACATAGTTTCCCAAATACAAATGACCAAAATTAAAGCCAAAAGATTTGAATAGATTAGTTCTCACAGAAGGCATTGTATATGTTATTATGGCTCTACAATAATGAAAGATACCAAGTCCAGATGTGCTTTACAAGTGAGTTTCATCAAACTTTCAAAGAACATCTAGTTTCTGAGTGCAATCAAAATACTATAGGCCAAAGAAAAATAAACTTTTTCTAAAATAATATATATTACCCATTTTATATTTAATCTTCAAACTAATGAAAAAAAGACATAACATTTCAGTCTCTACTTAGGAATACTGAAGACATGTTCTAAATAAAAACATTGAGCAGAACTCAGCTCTGTATCAAAATAATAACTCAGTATGATCAGCAGGCTTAATTTAGTAATAGAGTAGTATTTCAAAACAAGAAAGTCTATCAACAAAATTCACTGTTTTGATGAGAGCTAGGGGTATAGTTCAATAGTACAGAACTGAATAATGTGCTTTAGGAAAACAAAGAAAAACCTTAGAAGAAAAACAAAATTTCAAACTGACTCAGATGCCAATAAAATACAGCAACCAATCCCATAACTAAATGTAGAAATACAAAACCAGAAAATTCAAAACTAAATAAACAAATGCCAATAGCAAATATAAAGAACGCAGTAAAATCTTTAGTCCATGTAGGCCATCAACATGATTTCTATTTAGCTCTCCATGTTTCTACAAAATTCAACAAAAATATAAGTATTGAAAAATAGGAAAGACATGAAATTTACCAGAACACTATGAAATAGGTAAACATAAAATAAATATTTATAAAATGTCAATAATCACTTTCCCTGATAGCAAATAGCACTTAGCAATGGAGATGAGGAAGCTATTCAAATCTCAACAGGAAAAGAGCTACTAATCCTTGAGATATGAATCAAAAAAGCATAGAATAGATAAGAAGAAAAGAATGGATCTAATTAATACAAAATCAGATGTGAACATGCAAAGAAATACAGTTTCTTGGCTAAAAAGAACTACATAATTAAAAAGTTCAATCCAATGTAATGTAATTTTAATTAGAATCCTACTAGAACTGGAAGAGAATATAGAGTAAAAGAAAGCTTTGAAATGTATAAATAGAAAAAAATTGATAAGAAAGTGCTAAATGGATTTTAAACTAATGTATTCAAGCGAATATGATCTTGGTTCACAAACCAATGAAAGAGAACAGTGAATCAATGACTCATGCCTAGTACATAAAACATTTAATAGCTGACAATGATGACAATGATGGATGTTCAGTTTACAGGAAAAAGTTGGGAGTATGTAGTATACTGCTCTAGTACACCTGGTTATCCATCTTTGGTAAAGCAACTTTAAATAGAACTGGAAATGCAGAAGTTATATAAGAATACTATTTGTATAAAAAAAGAAAAGGATTATGCAAGACATTCACATACACATACACACGAATTGAATGCAACAATATACAAGGTTAGTATATGGTAATGGTTATCACAGCATTATGAAATGTCCCAGTAATATGGAACTGCCAAGATAAATTATGAAAAGTTCCAGTAATATGGAACTGCCAAGATGAATTATGTACTTATAAAATATTTTGTAGCCTTCTGAAATAAAACTTATGCCAGTAGGCTTTGATAGATTTCCAGATATTGATTAGGGGAAAATTAGGGTGTATTAAAGAACCAAAATAATTAACAAAAACTGTTTACAAGTCACGTGAGCTTGCAAATATACGTGAAGAAAGATATAGAAAGGTGCACACTGGTTTCATATTCAGAAAGGATGGTGTGAGTTAGAAGCCAAGTGAAAAAAGAAAATGCAAAGGACCACTATGAAAAAGTTAGCAATCATATTTACATATTTCTGTATGAGTATAAAACATTAGTAAAATAAATTAAATTGAAAAATAAATAGTAAAGATGAGTAAACAATGTGATTTCTATTTATCCAAAATAAAAAAGCAATGACCAAAATTATCTCTTGAAGGTAGGATGGACATGGTGTTTATTTTCTGATGAGAATTGCTGCTTTCATCCTAATCAAATAAGATCAATGCATGTTGCTTTAAAAAAATTACAGCAAACAATTGAGCTTATTTTGAAAAGGAAATGGAGGAAAATGGGGCTGAATAACCTTTTTCTGTGGGCTGTTCACATAAAATATATGGTCAGGATCCATTACCCCTCTCCTGTAAGAAAGTTACTCACCTAAGGCAAGAGACTAAGTGGCTATTCGTAGGAGCTGTTTGCTGCAGCAAATGGGGTAGTTTCCCCCCTACCTAATACTCTAATGACTTAAGTAAATCAGAAAAACATTTACTCCCCCATCAACTACCCAAGCATCTTCTAAGCTTATTACTTCCTGTTCCCTCCCTCTGGCCATTTCACTACTCAGGAATAGCTCCAACATGGGGGTGGGGCGGGGGAGAGGAAATTAATTCAGCTCATTTACCTTCGCATTAGCAACTCTAATAAAAGGTCTGATGAGGGAGATGATCATAACTCATGACTAAAATGAGGGTTCTGGGACACTTACTAATTTAATTTAAGTAAACCAACCTTCAGAGATGCATGGTTTGCCTGGAGTATACTTTAATGGATTTGATACTTGCTGATATTTTAAAGAAAGTCGAGATTTACTCAGCTATGGATATGGCTCTGTGTTAGAACACTGTACAGCAGGTATAAGGACCTGAGTCAGTTCCTAAAATCCCTGTCACTTCATTTTGTACGTGAAGAAAAATAAAATGGCCATTAGGACAAAAGACCAAAATCCTCAATGAAGAGATAGGAGAGGATCACTATAAAGCTATGTGATCTGCAGCAGCTCTCAAAGTAACTTAAGCAGGACAACTGGCTTCCCAGCCACCGTGCCTTGGCTGTGTAATCAGTCACAAAGACTGGGTTCAGCAGGATTTCCCAGGGCTCAACAAAAGCTATAACCCATATGCAACATGTACATGCCAATTCAATGGATCCTAACAGATGTTTATTCCTTATAAAGGCCAGGGGACCAAGGAGTTACAGGCCAGGGGCTTGACACCACATTGTCCTTTGTCGTCAAATGGAAAGAACAGCCACAGAGTAAAAAACAATTTTCTCTTACTTGAAGACGACTACAGTTCCCGGACATGGAGGCCAGGCCAGGAGGAAGATCTGCAATTGAAAAATTAAGAATGGTTAGCAAGCAAGACACTAAGCACAGAGATTTAGTGTTACTTTAATAATAACATTTTTAAAAACTTTGAAACAAAAAAAATGTAATGTTAAAAGTTAGAAAGGTAAAATTGTATGTTTTGAGTTGATTAAAATGTTTTTTGTTTAAATATTATTTTATTTTTTTTACAATTTATTCATTTTGTATACCAACTATAGCCCTCTCCCTCATCTCCTTCAGGTCCCACCCTCTCTTCCTCTTCCCCCCATTCCTTTCCCCTAGTACACTGAAATAGGCAGTTCTCTTATCAAGTCTCATCAGGACTGCTTGGATCCTCTTCCTCTGTGGGCTGGCAAGACCGAATCACAAGGGGGAAGTGATCAAAGAACAGGCAACTGAGTTCATGCTAGAGACAGGACCTGCTCCCCTTACTCAGACAGCCACATGAAAAGTAAACTGTCTATGGGCTACATCTAAATAGGGGGTCTATGGCCTCTCCATGCTCAGTCCTTGGTTGGTGCATCAGTCTCTGCAGGAACCCTTGAGCCCAGGTTTTTTGGCTCTGTTGGTCTACCTTTTGGAGCTCCTGTCCATCCAGATCTTTCTATCTCCCCCTTCTTCCACAAGACTCCCTGCACTCTGCCAAAAGTTTGGCTGTGAGTCTCAGCATCTTCGTCAATGCCCTGCTGGGTAGAGTCTTTCCAAGGTCCCCTGTGAAAGGCTCCTGTCCTGTTCCCAGTCTTCTCCCACTTTCGATATCTATCCTGTTTGCCCTTCTGAATCAGGATTAAGACTTTTTCCTAGGGTCCTCCTTCTGGCTTATTAGCTTCCTTAGGTGTACAGATTTTAGTATGTTTATCCTATATTATATAGCTAATATCCACTTGTAAGTAAGTATATAACATGCATGTCTTTCTGTTTCTGGGTTACCTCACTCAAGATACTATTTTCTAGTTCCATCCATTTGCCTGGAGAGGATGTGGAAAAAAGGTGACTTTTTAAGATTCTGTTATCATGACAGCCAAAATTGCAAGAATATTACATTTTAATAGAGCAATCAGCTCCCTGATCTTGGCCGTGCCACAAGCCTGGACTACAGCCTCTGACAACCTACAGTTGTTTGGCCCATACGTCGGTCTTCAACTGTCATCAAGGACAAAACAGCCTTTACAAAATTTGCTGATCATGCAATTCCTGGATTCTCACATAAAGCATTCTGAGCTGCAATCCTGAGCCCTCCCCCCCCCATCTCTATGCTGAATAAAAGCTCCAGATGGAACCAAGTCAGCCATTCCTGGTAATCTCACATACTATGTGTTTGCTCTTAGACTAAACTATGCTAAGGACCAAAGACATTCCAAGGGACTCAAGATTAACAAATGCTTAAATCTTATGTTTGCAGGGTTCCTTTATACACACTGATTTCATTGTGTAGTTTAAAAAACTCATCGATGGCTGTCCTTGTCAGGTTGAGAGCTCTGATAATTTGCAGTATGAGCTTGTCGGCTTGGCCAAGTGTTGCGCTTTGGCATTCTGTTCCTCCATTATCTTGGAGTCTACACTGAGAAGAATCATCTGTACTATAGGGAAAGCATCTGCCTGGCAGCTAGAATCCTTGCTAAAAGAAAAAGAACGGAGTGTGGAAAAGACAGTGTCTTAAGAAGAACACCAATAGGAATCCATCATCCACAATACCACATAAGAGAACCCCTCCATGTAAAGACCGAGCTACCATTGCCCAAACCATGCCATTTCTCTGTGAGTCAATTTGATTAAAGTGCAAACTCAGTGATAATTTCAGGTCCACAATCCTCTGTTGGTAAATCCCAAATTCCAGAGACTCTAAAACAGAAAATGTGCTTATTCAAAGCATGACTTGAATGGAGTTAGACCTCACTTTCTTTATTCTACTTATGGGGAATTTTCATATATTTCCCATAGAAAGAAGACATTTCATTCTGCGGGGTGCTGCCCTACACAGCGCTGGGTGTGTATGTAAAATAACTCTAACCATCCATTTGTGTTGCTTTTCTAAAATAACAAAGAAGCTGATTTCTGAACTACTTCTAACTCGACTGGTTTTGAATAAGGATCATATACTTGAAATTTTGATTCTTCAAATATTAGTTCCTCCCCAAACCCTGGTCTGGCCCTCAGGAGCAATCCAAGAAAGAACAAACCGAAGTTAGGGTTCTTTTCCCCAGACAGAGCAGGAAGCTTACTCACCTTAGGCAAAGGACCAATTTGGAGGCATCAGGCCCACCAAAGCCTATACATTGAAGCCACAGTACAAAGAGGTAAACCAGTCCCAACTACCTTGGAAAGGTCTCCAGTTCATCAGGAATACTCCAGAGTCATACCAGCAGCCCTCCTGAGCTTCTAAATACCCAGACACTTGCAACATGCCAAAAAGAAAGTAAAACTGCTAGAGTGGATCTCACAATTAATAAAGTCTTACTTTTCTTGTCCCTAGAGGGGACAAGTACCTGTTTGACTGGTTCTGTCCTTCTCTACAGCAGATGTTCCGAAACCTACTATAAGAATTAAACTTCCAATTTCAAAGAAATCTATTCTCCTATTATCCTCCACAAGTCACAAAAACTAGTCTAGTCTTGATTCTACCAAGAGCTTGCCAACAGTTATTTTCACAGGGCCAAAACATTCTAATTGACATTCCAGCCTTTCTTTCCTTGCCTGTTTATGCCTATCACCAAGACAGATTTTTTTTTGCAAGCAATCTTTGAATCAAATGTAGTAAATAGATTTAGCAACAACAACAAAAATCCCTCAATATTCAACATATTCCATTTCTAGAAAATCTACAACCTGCTTCAGCCACTTGAAAGATTCCTGAAATTGAACCTCAGGTTAAAGTCATTCTCTGTCAATCATGCATTGTAAAAGTAACATTTTAACTTATCAGCCAAAGGATTACCAGCCATGGCTTAACTGTCTTTGCTTTCTTCATTGGGTGGTTCCAACCATCTCTAAATTTTGATAGTATATGTTTTAGACTGGCAGATGGAAAACTAAAGCATTCCTTGAGCTGCAAACATTAGAAGGAGAAAACACCTAGAAGTACAAACAAAGAAGATGAGAGATGAGAATAGATGCCAACACATCCCAGCACCCACTCTTAAAAAGGGCTCAGCCCCTGAAGCAAAGAGCAAAAACAGGGAGCAAGCGGAATAGTGCTACAGAGAACCAACACATCCCATCACAGGCGGAGCCATGTTATTTAACCCCATTTCATAGATGAAGAGACTGAGGGAGAAAAGTTACCACAAGCATTTCTGGTGAAATTCAAAGTAAATGCAACCTCACACTCATAAATCAGGCCATCCTGCTCCCACTACAACCCTGCCCATTCACTGAATTCACAGCACAAAGAGAACACCTCAATAGTTTTATGCCAGTACTACCATACATTCATGAGATCTATTTTCTACATCATGAAACACCTCAAAACACACCCAGTGGGGCAGCCCACCATCAACAGATTTAGTGTTGCCCACACAAGCTCATTTTAGCTCAAAATTATCTCAGCCCCAGGTCTGGTGGTTACATGTGATTCACAAACCCTTACAAAAGTGAAGTCTTTGTGGCTAGGCATTCCTGGAAAAAAATGTCCAGATACTTTGGAAAACCAGTTTTAATCCCCTGCAAAAAAAAAAAAAAAAAAAAAAAAAAAAATCTCCACACAATTCCAGCCCAGAAACAGAACTTTTAATTTTTTCCAGTTACCCAGTTACTGTCTCATCTTCTCTCTCTGTGGTTCTAGGTCCCCTCCTTGCCTTTCCATCCTCTCAACCATCATTTCTCCTACTCCTTATCTTGTCCCCAATCATTTTGGCCCCAAGTTTACCAAAGACTATTCCTAAATGAGCCCAGTTAAGTACTGAAGGGGCATGGTTGAACTACATGAAATGGAAATCAAGAGAAAGAGGCACAGGAGACTGATGTGTAGCCTACATAACCCAGAGGTCCTAGACCACTGGCCCCAGTTTCCTTGGTTTCACTTCCAATGAAGACACTCAGATAACTAGGGCTTCCTAAGGACACCTGCATGTGAGTGATACTTATCATAGGTAAGATCAAATTGCAGAGTTATATAAAGTCTATTCTGAAACTCTATTCACTCCTATCCATACCTTTGTGTCCTTGTTATTTCTATCTGGACCACTGTGACAATCTCTGCCCTTTGTATCACCATCAGGCACAATGTTACAAGAAGGATTTATCTAAAATGCTATCCTGCTGTATGATTTTAAGTCCTCCCAAGTCTGGCCAGTGCCTAAGGAAAAGCAAAGGAGATAAGAACACCTGTACTCCAGGCTCCATCTATCATCCAAACATGCATTATGCCAACCATACCGTAAATATATAATTCATTGCTTCTATGACTTGATTTCTTTATTTTTTTAAAAGTACTTCTTCAATGTATCATATCATACTGTATTGTATAGCATGGCTATTTTTGCCTATATGTATTGTCTGTGCACCACATGAGTGTGATGCTCAAAGAAGTCAGAAGAAGGCATCAGATCCCCAGGAACTGGAGTTACAGACAGGTTATTAGCCATTATGTGGGTTCTGGGAATTTAACCTGGGCCTTCTACAAAAACAACCACTTCTAAACTGAAACCATCTCTTCAGACCCATCTACAGCCTAATTTCTAACAACTTAACCTTACTCAATTACATGCTCGTGCAATTAATTTATCCAGTACTTTTATAATTTCCTTAGTCCAGTTACATGATACTTTCTAGGTCCAAGGAAATAGAACATCACCCTTCCCTATCCATGGGGAATTGGTTCCAAAACCTCTTCAGATGACCACATCTGTGGATGTTCAACCACATTATATAAAATGCCATAGCATTTACATATCACCTACTTTTGTTTTCCTATATATTCTTAATAATCTCTAAATCGCTTATAATGCCTAATACAATGTAAATGTTATTTAAATATCTGTTAAACTGTATCATTAGGAGG